TCATCACGCTGAAAAGGAAGAGTTTGCACTGCGAATCGCCAAGGGCACACTAACGCTGCACACAAGAGATGTACAACATAATGGAAAAAAGTGTACGGAAAATTTGGTTTTCTTGACGTTGGCACTAAATCATGGAAACGAGACGGGCTATGTCATTCCTTCCTCTAGTCTTACCACCTTCTTCTGACAAGGAACATTTTATTCCATGCAAACAACAGCCATGTGCTTCACTGCGTCTCATCATTTCGTGTCACTCACGTTCTTGGCTTATTCCTATGCTAATCTTGATCCAATTTCACAGATTTGTATTTCTAATGCGATAACACATCCAAGCAACATCTGAGTAGAAAGCTTGGCATGGCTAAAGACACACATTCTTTTTGGGAACATGTGAGAAAAATTGATATAACAGATGGGATCGGGGAAATGACATTTATCAATATTTCGCACGGCGAGGGGTTCATTATCACAATGTTTGCAAAAAAATAAATCCCTACCCAACTTTCACTCATTGCTCAATTTAAATTTCAAATTTTAAATTCTGGTCGTCATATTTGCGAATTATTTTTTTTCATGTTATTTTTTTATGCAAAAATTTACGAAATTTCATGAACTCAATTTTCCTTGTTGGCAGTTTAAATTATAAGCCCTACACAATTCTATTCGACTCTCGTAAATACTTATTGCGTGTACTAAAGCATTTCTTGTGCAATCAAATTTAATTAATCTACTGTGCACATTATTTATGTACGCATGAATACGAGCTTGGAACACCACCACGATTATAATAGGCATGTAACACACACTCGTAAAAATGAGCTATAGTATTGCAAATGACGTTGATTTAATTACTCCGTTTAACGCACATCGTTCAGGAAATTGGCTGGTAAAGTGGAAAAGAAAAGGAGGGCCTCACTCACAATCATGCGTTCACATATCAGCAGGATTTAGCAGTGCACAAGAAAAGAAATGAAAAATCGTAACCGGACCAAAAACGAATAGACATTTAGAAAAGGGGGCATTAGGCTGATGGTGACGTTTGTGTGTTAACGTTGTTGGTGGCTTGGATGACGGTGGTGGTGCCATTTCTTAACATTTTAACCCATTGAATATGAAATGAAACCCATGCAATAAATACTGAGTAGCTGTTTCCATTAAGATTTGTTGGCACGAAACGTGGTTGCAAACATTACACAACATTAATGAGCTAAAATGGTCCCGAAAAGCATAAACGCAAGTTTAGTAAGGCTGGTGAGGAAATATCCCGAAAATTTAAGTAGTGAAAAGTGTCCAAAAAACTGTAAAACTAGTAAATCTCTATTTGTTTAATGTCACTTCGACTCATGTTTCCCTTATAAAGTTGCCGAGGTTAATCAGTTTCCTCGATAATCGTTATTACTTGTATTGCCAGTACTTGTACCGCTAGCGTTTAAACTCTAAAAGGGTCGCCAAACCCCTAATTCAATCACTATTATCGTTTTATGTGGGAATTTTACATTTCGAGTGCCCTAAGTGGGAATCAACAGCGGAAAGTTGATGACAAATGGGAAAAGGTGAAATGATTTGTCTAATCTCATGAAATGATTTGAACGGGACAAGGCTAAATTCGGGTTTTGTGTAATTTGCAAGCATAAAACACTGGCTGGTGACCAAATCACGTTATCAGAATGCTTTTAAAACGTCCGAAAATTTGATAAAGTGTATCCACGAAGCACTAATGAAGCTTCACAAATACGTTTAGCTCCAACTTCTCAATAGACCGGGTTTGGTTGCCAAATTCGTGATTGACAAATGGCGAGCACTGCTAGTCACTACACATTAACATGGTTTATGATAAAATTGGATTACGTTAGCCAATGTGTGCTCCGAATTTCTGTTGGGAACATTTTTATCCGGAGTGCATTATTGTTCACAAAATAAATAAATAAATAAGGCAAAAACTCTTGATGACTTAAGCTGAAACTTTTAGTATAATACTTTTCTTAGCGATTATTTCTAGATTGTAGTCAATCTACAATTTGCATTGGTCAGATTATGTAATAGGTGACAAGATAAGATCTTGTTGTCAAAAATATTACACATGCTCGTTTTTGCAATTTGTTTTTACCGTTCCATTTTAGATTTGTGTATTAGGCTACAATGACATTTTTAGTAGTTTTATGCACTTGTTTTAATATTTGTAGACATGTAAGTGTTCATTATGCGTATAAGCTATGGAGGATAATGGTTTAGTACTTCCAACTTATTAGACACTTGAATAAAACATCAATCAAATAAATTAAATTAAATCAAGATTGTACCAAAGAAAATATGTACCACAGTTTAGATTGCACTATTTTAAATGTTTTTAAGGAAATTTCTCATGCCTTTGAAAAGTTCAAAAGAATTTCGAAGGTTCAAAGCAGCAGATTATGGTACAAGTTTAGATATAGCTCGTCGTCTTGGTGCTTAAGAAGTGCATACATTGAAGAACTTTCTAAAAATAAAGGTATTATTTAGTAAAAGCCAGACTTCTTTTTACGCTTTGTTATGCTCATTCACTCTTATTCTTAATCTGGCATTATATATATTTCGCTAAGACGTTCATGAGAAAGTGATCAGATTTGCGAAAAGTTTTTGTTCAATCAAGTGGCCTCCGTTATGGAAAGTAATTTAAGAGTCGCATAAAGTTCTGAGAATCAGGCAGGAGCGAATGAAAAGGTGAAAAGAGGTGTGTAGAAAATTTTGGTGTGCTACTAAATCCTAATCCAGGTTGCTTTCATGAAAATTTGCTCTGAAATGAAGGAAAGTATGAATTGCTGAACAGTATTATTATCCATTTGATGCTTACGTAAGAACCCTATTGCTTTTTGGGTCGTACATAAGTGTGTTTATTTTGACTTAATCCTGTGAGAAAAACTGGAGAAAGTTATCATGTGGTGGGACGATCACTGTTGAACGTTTGAGCCGTAAATTCATTAAGCACAGGAGTTGCTTACGGTCTTTTATAACAGGTTTAGTTTTCTCTCGTATCGTAAATTGCCAGCTTAGAAAGAGGTCCGTTCTCTCTCTTTCCCTTCATCCCAATCTAACGAGAGAAGTTGCATCCTTTTCGTTAGTTAAATAATTGTGGGAAAGTTTTCTTGTCATGAACTCCATTCTGGGGTTTTCATTTAGTTGGAACGGTTCACATTGCACCATGGATTTAGCTAGGAACGCCTCATACTGATTCTCACAATTTTATGGCTTGCTATTCCCCATTCAATTAGTGTTATGTTATTAAGCCCTCTGCTCCACTATCTCTAAATGAGTGGAACCATCAGACTTTCGTAGTAGTTTAAGCACTATCTTATTCCGTACGAAGCTACGTATTTATCGATAGCACTGCTTATAAAGTTCAAAACCATTATATCTCTGACACCAGAACCGTACAAAATTTTCGTAATTCGTAAATTCTCTAATCTTTAATAAGCACAGAAAATAACAAAGTTTTGCATCCACAGCCGTGTTATGCTTTCAGCCAGGGATAAATCATACCAATCCAAAATAAATTATTGGTCCCACCCTCAGCCATCCACCATGCCTAATGTTACACAAAACTGAGTAGGTATTTCTTAATACTTTGAATCTTCATGGCTGTTATATAAGCTCGCCACGTATAAATATATTCTACCACGGAAACATAACGAGAGCATCACAAAACCCAAACGCCCCCACCCTCCCGTCGTAATAGTAGGAACAGCATTAGACTGTCGTGGCCTGCACCGAGGGGTAAACGTAAAGATTACATCAATGACACTGTTGATGGCGCCACGCGAAAATGTAGCCCGGATTTCGACTCATTACTTTGGGGAGGAAGTAAACAGCCGGGTGGCAGGTCAAAAGGTGCCATTTGATTAATCACTGAATGCGAACACTGGTCGATACACTCATTTGAATGAAGTGATGGATGCCAAGGTGAAATTGAAAAATTGTGTGACGCTCGTCCCCAAATGTGACGCGCACAATGAAGTGGTGCTGGTGGAATGAAGAGGAAGAGTGAAAGTGAACCTTTCTCCTCTTTCAGCAGGACAGGTAAAAAAGTGGGGAATCCTATAACCATGTCAAGCAACAAAATGTGAGATAAATTCCTCGTTGGTGAAGTGTCGTCGTGGGTAGTCATCGTCGTACTGTGTGGTACGTTGTGCTCTGTTTGTGTGAAAATGCGCATATATTTATGGATGGAGGTGACCCCTGACTGAGTCTTGGTGTTGTACTGTTGTTGTTAAATATTTGGAGAACTTTGTCCTGGTGAGTGATCAGGAAACATCAACGGTCACCATGTTTGCCATGACGGATTACTTTGGGGGGGACCTGACCGGGCTGGGTGGACTCGGCCGTTATCCTATGTAGGTCACTTTTCTTGCTTTCTCTCTTTCCATTATTTACCTACACTTCTTCCTTTCGCTGTTTGCTTTCCATTGAAATTAAATAGGAACGGGTACGTAGTGCATATCCAGCAAGTAATCGATAGCAAACGACTTTGAACCTGCGAGCAAATCTTGACTAAACATGAACCACCACTAATAAGCCATATTACTTTGGAGGATTTGTGCTGGCATTATTTGTTGTCACGAACGGAATGCGATACGACTGGTACCTGCATAAACTACAATTTTGTAATAACAGTACAACCGTTTTAATGAAATATTAGAATGATTCTGGGATTCGCTACATGGTTATTTTGGTTTTCACTCTCTGTTATTCATGGAATAATCTGCTCTGCTTCCATAAAATGGATGTATGTATAAACCCATAATTAAACTCCGTTTCAAGCTGTCTGAGTTCACCGCCTTGAGGACATTACATTACATTACCCGAATGAGCCGAATTATTTTATTATTTGACACCACTTATTTTAATTCTGGCGTAGAAATCACACGAAATTTAATAATTTAAACGCCAAAATAAAAATAAGTGGTGTCAAATAATAAAATAATTCGGCTCATTCGGGTAATGTAATCTAATGTCTTCAAGGCGGTGAACTCAGACAGCTTGAAACGGAGTTTATGAGGAGAAGAGTAGCATTAAGCTCCTTTTCGATGACGTAGTTGTGTCAAAAAAATTCACAGGAAAAATATGGCGCGAAATCTTTTCACCATGCTTTACTTTTCCCAAAACCCATACGTTTTTTGTTTACAAAGGAAAGTGGGGAGACACGCATTCACTATGTACTGTATTGCATTTCTTGTAAAACCGTTTTTATTCAGGTTTTTACTCAATTCACTAAAACCCAATGCAATACACAGTTAGTGGACGGCCCTCGCACAACAAGTCTGGGTTACACCAGTTATTTCAATTTTTTCAATTTTTAAAACTATTTTCTGAGACTTTGAAATTGAATTTTGAAATTCTTTCTACCGCTATTGTAGATAATTAGCTGATTAATAAGATTCTTTTGAAAATTTTCAATTTCGATGGGCCAATTTTGCTGAGGTACAAATTTTATATAACGTTTGGTCTTATGCTTTTTACATACTTTTTGTACCTCAGCTTTCAAAAACGATCGAAATATTGAACTTCTTCGTCGAGTATGACCACAACGGAGTTATCTAAAATAGCCGTAGAAAGAATTCCAAAATTCCTTCTGGTAGCTGAGAAATAATTGAAAATGTAGGGTTATGACGTCATTATTATGACGTTGGTAGTGACGACACGAGTCTCACGTTAAAGGACTTGCAATGCTTAAGCATACAACATTTATTGACTCGGACTCAAAATAAAAATGTGTATCTGAAATAAATAAATGTCACCCTAGAGCTGACATAAATTGAACGATATTCTCAGTAGAGCTAAAATTTCTACTTGCAATGATTTTCCTTCAACTTTTTTTGCATGCACTCTATAAAATATTAGAAATACTTTGCGCATTTCTATCCATTCTCAAAATATAACCGAGATATGTCAACTTGAAATCCAAAATGATTAATTCTGATTCAAAATGGGTTTCAAAATAGCAATAGCAATTGTAATACAATTAATACGTTGTCCATGGGTAGTTCCACCTCTTCAAGGGGCAACTCATTAAAAACTGACTGTGCTCTAAATTGGAGTGCATTTCCATGGTCCGTTTGCAATGACTTTCGCATAAAATGAGGAAAAACGACAAAGTGGAAAAGCCGTGAATTTGTGGGAGAATGAGACCGAGACAAAACACAGAGCGGTGAAAAATATGCATGTGCGCTATCATTTCTGCCGGCACATGGGTTACTAGGAAGCTGTAGCGTAGGTAGCTTAGGTAGACGGTTACTCTCCGCTCTTCTCCAGGAAAAAATTGTTCCAATTGAAAACCCCAAGCTACTTTTTGGACCCAAATTATTTTGAGGTAATTTTCTATGATGATTAAATTTCAAATTTTCTATTACTCTATTAGTTTGGTTCTTAAAATGTTTTTTTTAAATTGTCAATTCTTGAAATAGACATGGAAAAGAAAGGCTATGGAGTACTTCACAAGATCGTGCTGCAAGGAATGAAATCCGGAGGATTGTTGGATTTTCACAGAGTGAAAACTTTGTTCTGGAGGGCTTCTAATGCTCTAAGTTGTACGAATAACTATATTTTATGTACTTAATTAATTGATTGCATTTCATTTGCTAACAATTTTTATTTTGGTAATTCATTTAGTGGATGAGGAGCAGTGGACCTCCATGCTGGCAATAGAAAGAGTTTTTAAAGAAATTAATGAAAAAATTAAATTATACGATGTTGCGATTATGTCAGCATCTTGTGAACTCACTGGGGAAAAATTTTTCATGTTTTTGGACATGATGGAAACTCCAGCGATGAGGTAAGTGTTATTTGTTAGACCACATTTGAATAGAATACAAATTGGGGAGGAATAACTAATCAAAAATCTATATTTGCTTCCGTTTCAGAATGGAAACCCTGTTCTCAAAAGCAGAATTGGAATTATTTCGAAAGATTATGACCGCAGTTCTCCGGAAGTACGAGCATTTTGCTGTACCGGTCATGGATTGCAAAGATATGGCTAGAGAAATTAATGCTCGCGACTTTTCCATCGAAATGGCTGAAGCATTCGTGCAAAAAATGATAGGGTTGCATTACTTTGCTAAATATTATTTGGATCCAAAGGTAGATAGATAATAAAGATGTTGTATAATTTATGATTAAAGTTCAATTAACCAATAAATTCGAACTTTCTGTCTATGTAATTCATTAAAATTTGTACGAGCAGGGGCCAGAGTACGAAATTACGATTGGAATTCGTACTATTCGCGAGTTTGAACCCATCCTTAGAGAAGTTTATGACGACGTGATGACTAATTGCCATCTCTGCAAAATGACCATGCTTCACGTAATAATTTTTATGGTCAACATTGACGTATTTATATTTTTGAATTAATTATACAATAGTTTTAAATATATTTTCAAACTTGCAGGGACATCAGTGTCCAAAATGCAGCGTGTTTGTACACAAGGCTTGTCATGAGAAGTATATAAAAACGTGGAAAACATGCCCCGGCTGTAAGACTGGCATGGTGAAGCGAGTCGCCAAACAAATGAGACTGAAAACACAACATCATCAAGTTCACAGAATTCCTCGTCTCCTACTAAGATGCCAGTCTTGTATCCAATATCAGAAGAACGGCGGTTAAGATCGGACCATCGGACCTCTCAAAAAATGCCAAATCTGACGGCGGAGCTTGACCTGTCCAAATAATTTTTTCATACTATTATGATTTTTTTCTACCATTTTATTTATCCTCAAGAGATAAAATAAACCTTTACCCATATTCCTTGTAGCACTGGGAGTTCACATTTATTCACTAAAATCTCAGCAATACAAGTTACAAATTTTGAGACGGTTATCAAAATCCAAACTTCCTCAGCAAGAAAAGCAAAACCAGATGCGACTTCTCTGGGCAGGAAGAATCCCTCGATCTGAGAAAACTGCAGTACATTTCAGGGTATCCGCATTTGCACCGGTTTCACAAGCTCGCCAACCGAGAAACTCCGAAACAGACTCACTCCCAGAATTACCCCCGCTTTCCACGAGAATGCACGCGATTCTGTTTTCACGGCGGATTGGAAGCTTTGCTTTTCTCTTCATCTGAACGAAAGTATTGAGCTTTTCCCAATCTACTCAAGCAAACGATTTTCAGGAAAAAGGGGCAAGTTCAGGCATATCAGTTTGCAAGCACGTATGATTATATTGTATTTATTTTTTCATAAGTTGACAATATTTTTTACTACTAATATAGTCGTTTAGTGTCAATGAGATGTGCAAACTTGATGAGGTCCAAATTTTTATCAAATTTTACAAATTATGAATGCATTGTATTTCATAAAGCACTAACATTTCCAACATTTCTTAAAAAACTTTTCTCTCTCTGTCAATCTGTCTCCTAGTGGCTGCGTTTCCTTCCCGTAAATTTCGGGATCAGCGGAAGAGGAAGAATTTGTCAAGGGGAAGTAAGTCGGTCAGCCTCTCGATGCGGAGGGAATACTAATAGAACCCAGCATTGTGAATTCATAGGCGAGAAGAATATGTTCCATGAATGCACTACAATAAACCCCTTAACTCTCATGAATGGAGGACCAGGTTTGAATATGGACAGTAATAATGGTTGTTCAAACAGTCCAAGCTCGTCCTCCTGCTTTCTCCTCGCCAGTCCAAATGCGTCCGCATCATGTGGTAATGTGAAAAATAAAAAGGAAATGAGACTCGGGACGAGTTAACGAGCCTTTGTTTGATCACGGACGACAACGGCGGTGTTATGTGTAAATTGGTCTCTGCACAGTCGACTAGGAGAACTAATACACTTGATGATGAGGCAGCCAGGCTAACAATAAATGTTGAAAGAGTTGTTAGGCATTCCTACGGATTGTGATTGTAAATTCGGATTGGTGTGCATATTCTTGTAGAATTTGGGTCATGACGTCAGCCGTTGGTAATGAAATTACTGATTGTTGGCCAAGTCACAATTTTGAATTGATTAAGCTCTCTCTCTCTAAACTCTCAATTCATTAGTGTATCGCAGTGAAGGAAGAAATGAGACGATTGTAGTCAACATGAAAACTGATTCATTAAAATAAATAATTTATTCCCACCTTACGGCTAAATTGAAGCAGTCAACATTTCAATTGTCAAAAACAATCAAGTAGTAAAATTTAATTTATTTAGTTGTACCCACCCAAAAGCAGAATTATTGATTAACTTGTCAGGATTGAAATTTAATTTTCTTCTTCAGGTTCAAAATTGGATATGTATGTGCCTAGTTTTGCATGGGGTTTAATTCGTCTTCAATTGCAAGAGGGAAGTTTATTCCTGTAATTTATATCTGCGTGGAATAAATTTACTGCTCAGAATATGGCAAAGTTAAACGTACCTGACCAGTAAACGCACAGATGGGATTCATCCAATCTTACACGTGGAAATAGGAAAAGTTTATAATAGTTTAATGTGAGTGACGGTGTGTGTTGGACGGAAACTTGGTGACGGGTTGCATAGTTTTGCTCGCCTCTCACACCGACTTTCCAACTTTCTCCACTTTGTAATTTGGGAAATGGGATTTCTTTGGAGAAAGTGTGAAAGGCGTCATGTTATATGTGCAACGGAAAGAGAGTGAGGTTGACTGGTCTGGTCAGTAGGTCGGTCAGTCGACCAGAAACCGGTCACCTAAAGCCACATAAGCCTATTCATTTGTGTGTGACACTCATTTGTTTGAGCACTATATCAATAATGTCAATCCTACAATTTATCCAACTTACTGCCCAGTTGAATATTTACTTAGATGTGTGACACGGTTTTCTCGTAAGGTTGAAAAATTGAGATTACACTTTCTGACTTTGAGCGAGGTCTGAGCAACCAGTCTGAGTAACCAGTATGCTATGCACTCCAATCCTCCTTTTCTACTCCCTTTGGCTCTTGAATTGTAACCCCATTTAGAATCCGAGGAGGAGATAATCTCCCCAATTTCTCTTTTTAAATGCAAGAAAGATTTGTGACTATGATTCAAGTTCTTAGTTTGGCTGACGAGTCGGAAAACTGACTGCTTTTGACACCATTCTCTTTCATCTCCTCCTTCTTCTCCTTTGAAGTTCCCATTTATTTAGCGTCTAAAACGTCACTCAGCCGCTCACTCAATTGATAATTTCATCTCCTTCGTACTTATTTACACCTTGTGTTGTCCTCTCTCTCTCTGGCTCTTTCTATCTCTATCCATTAGTTTCGCGGACTAACGCTGTCTGTCTAACTCTCTCTCTCTGAGAGATCTCTGGGACGATGCTTTCATGATTTATAGGAATGGGAAAGAAGATTGCATTCTACAAAATGGATTAGATTCGTTGCGAATATCAAAACAGAGCTAAATATACCAATGTAGATGTACATGCTTGGGCGTTGGTGTTGATCTAGTGCCTTAATGTCCTTGGAAAGTACATATTCTATTCTGCTACATGTGCGGGAGAGAAATCATACCGTATTCAGTCCGTGTAGTCTGGAAAGATTTGTTCAAAAATGAGTAAATCCTAGTCAAATGTACACCATTTTTCGCATTATGCCATAAGTGGAGCAAATTCAGTAACGCACACCACCGAGATGGGACAAAGGTTAAATTAAAGTTTAGGAAAAACAGGAATAAATATCAGTAGAATTTACCGGATGGCAATTTGGACCCAGTAGAACGATAACGGCGTGCACTGCTTTCCTTCCTTTTCTCCAGTGCAATCTATCTCCCAAATCAGTCAGATCTCCAAATGTTCTTTGAACGCCGTTACATCCGTCTGGAGCCAAAAGCTACAATCAAATGTGCACAGGGGGTCCTTTAACTTTAAGCTGCTACAAGCTATAAAAATAAGTTGTAAATTTGTAGTTTTTTTCCTAATTCTAGTACAACAGTGATCCTATTCATCGCCAGATATGTTGCTGCTATACTGGTCGTTGGAAAGTTGGTGTACGTAATAAATGTGTTTTGCATCATCCATCTTTACTTTGCACTTTCTTTACATTGCTTCCTCCAGTAGTTGGCTCCATATTTCGTCCTTCTCTCCCAGTATGCATATGTACGTACTTTAGCATATATTGTACGCATAAGAGTCACCATCCTATGTATGTACATACGTATTACGATATGGGAATTAAATCAAATGCACCAAAGGTATTCATGTATGTCTTGATTATTACTCTGGGCATTTGATCCGACATTCATTACATGCAGAACACAGCTTAACGAGGCGACCCCAACTGTGTAGTTGGAACAAACTGATGTATTTTCCGTACAGAACACAGCCGTTGTCTACTAAAGTAGGAAAAGGAGGAGGTTGGATGGGATTTAGGAACCTTTGACTTTGTTTATTGCTTTACAATCCCCAAACGGAACATTAGAATTTAAAGTTGCAAATGGGAAGGATATTTTTGTGTTTGCTGAAATCTCCACTTTTCCGTTGGATTGTCGGACTGCTTTTAGTTTTGTCTGTGCAGGCTATCGCATTGGTACAAAAAAGGTAGGCACCAAGGGTACTGCTGATAGTGTCAGTTTTTTCATAAAGTTATCGAGGCCCAAGTGTATTTTTTTGTGTGGGTTGTGTTCTAATCTAAACAATTCTCTGGACATTGCGAGTACAAAAGTCTTTAGATTTATGTACGAGTGCTCAAAAAAATCATGTGCATTGTTCAAGCCGCCTTCGTAGCCGTGCTTGGAGATAGTGTTCTCTTAACGAGTTACAAAAGTGGCGAACAGCGAAACACTGCAATTTATATAAAGTTTCATGAAACAAAATTTTTCAAATCTTACAACTCGCAAAGTTTGATTTCCCTGGGAGAACGATCTATGATAAAGATCTCAAAACAATGTAATTTGCGGAATTGTTGAACCATGACTTGGAAAGCGAGTGTCTCTACTTACCCATTCTTGTCGGGGAACAGTTTCCAGCTCTGTTTCAGAACACACGACCACATAACAAGGACTGAATTTATGAGTCATTAGTACAAGAATTTTAAGCCGTTGTTGTAGAAAGAAGAAGACTTTATGACAAACCAGAAGAGCAACAAAGGACTCTGTCTGTGCGGGGAGAACAAAGCGGTCTCATATTAACAAATTGATCCCAGTGAAGCGTAGACGTCATGATATGAAGTTGCAATTATCTCTCCTCCCGTTACTCTTCCCGTCGTCCTGGCATGGCTGGAGTAATTCTCGCAGGCTCTTGTCAGTGGACGATCCCTGAGTATGTATGGCATCACAGAATGGCCAGGCAAGTCGTCTTCTTCTCTCATTATTTGCGTATATATTCCACCCAACTGCACCCACCACCCACCCACCCGCGTTCCACTTGCCGAAGGAATCTCTCGATACTGCAGAGATTTGTTCATGAAACATTATTACTCAGATATCTATCCATCCATCCAACCTATCGGCATCATCATCTCCTCCGGTTCATCGAAATTACATCAGCGTATTTGGTAGCTTCCAACCAGACGTGATCAAATCCTCGTCAGCGTACGTCGTGGCTTGATTCTCCCTGCCAAGGATAATTTTAGACGCCTTTCTTTGTAAGAGGAGTAGTATTGAGGAGGAACCTTCATCCAAACGGGATCTGTTCGTGGTCTGACGTTTAATAAACAATCAAGTCATAAAACCTTGTCAAGGGAATTCGTATATCGTTCTTGCGAACAAAATGGAGATGACGGAAGGATATTTACATGCCTAGAAAGTTTTCAGTTTAAGTATCAAGTCGAAGGAGGAGGAGGAGGCGGAGAAGGTCAAACGGAGAAAGTAGGAAGTGATAGGAAGGAATCGATATC